TTTGAGGCCGAGGCTGCACCCATTGCCTATGTTGCCACTGCCGAGCACGGAGACGCGGCCACAGCCTTGCATCCGCAGAAGAGATGGTTGCGTCCAGCAGGATTCCTCGTCGTATTCCGTGGCTGGTGTTCATCATTTGGTGGAGGCTCAGGACAGAGTAGCGCCGCCCGCTGCAGCTCGACGGGTGGCACAACAATGAACGAGAGACCATGAGAACACTGATGAGGCCATGGAGTGGAGGCGCTCGAATGGGCAGCTCGGCAACATCGTCGGTGCGTAGAAAACCAGTCTCAGCGACGCGACATCGTCGCCGGTGGAATTGAGAAAATACTGATAGCGGCCATGCGGCGTGTGGCTTCCAGTCGACAACTCGGCGTGTGCGCTCGGCGATGGCCACTTCCCTCGGCGACTTGGCACGCATGGACGGCGGCGGCCGCTTCCCTCGGTGACTTGGCACGCATGGACCGTGGCGGTTTCAACTTGCCGACTCAGCTCGATTCCGCTGCAGCTTTCATTCGTCGAGTCGGCGAATATCAGTTGCGATGAGTATCCGTATATAATCATGTTTTCATAAAAACATGTACTATTAGTAGTTTTTCATAAAACGCATATTCCTGGCTTTGTGGAAACTGAATCTTGTTAATCCACGTTTTTACTGCGGGGCCCAAACATGGTTTAAGTCTGTTACACGGTTATATGGGTTCACGGAAAACTAGTTCTGCGAAAACTACTTATCCAAACAAGGCCCTACTTATCCAAACTAGTTCTGCGAAAACTAGTTCACGGATACAACACTAGCCTAGTTTATGACTCAGACATTGACACGACTTGGACTACAACACTAGCCTAATTTATGACTCAGACTTTGACACGACTTGGACTACAACACTAGCCTAATTTATGACTCAGACTTTGACACGACTTGGACTAGTACTCGTACATCTACTAGCTAGTAGCTACTAGGTAACGGCTAGCAGCCGGACTCATGCACGTAGCAGTAATTGCATGTGGACTAGCTTTGCATCTAACTCAAACTCAAGATTATACTAACAGGCCTGACGGCTTCGCCAACTCCATTACCGTTGTCGGTGAGGCTGTCCATCGTTCAGGGCGCGGCGAGGGGACTGGCATACCTGCACGAGTGCAGCTCTCGCCGGTACGTGCATGGCTGCATCAAGTCATCCAAGATCCTGCTCGACGACGAGCTTCGTCCGCACGTCTTCGGCTTCGGCCTGACCCGCCTCGTCGCCGGCGTGCACAAGACGGCGCAGTCGAGGAAGCTCGGCAGCAGCGTGGCGTGCGCGCTCCGCAGCGGCGCCCTGTCGGCGCTGTCGTACGTGGCGCCGGAGCTGCGCGCGCCGGGGGGCACGGCCGCGGCGGTGACGCAGAAAACCGGGAAAAAGCCTTGGCTGGTGGCTTTCTTGGGGTAACTTGCACTGACTGCACATAAGTGCGGGTTAATTAGGGAAAAAAGCAGGTTTTTTTTGTAAAAGTATGTGTGCTGACCCGGCCAGCCACCTGGCTACCAATTGTCGTCCTTTGATTGGTCTGGGACTAAAACATCACCTGAGGTGCAAGTTGGGATATGACGGGGTTGAATTTTACAAGTTTAGAACTAAAATGTCACATCTTATATAAGTGAGGGTATGTGGGGTGCTATTACCTCCAAAAGCAAGAAACGGCCCAGAAGTTTCCAGGAAACGAGACGAAACGCATTGCTGAAGATATTGGCATCCAACGGACGACCATGGGCAAGAGCCGTGCGAGCTCTCGCTTTGCATGGACCACGGCTCCAGCGGCTCTGCGGCGCGAACGGGTAAAAGGAAGGCATGGGCCAGTGGTGTCGGGCTCGGCGCAGACGGGCAGAGTCACATGATAGGCGAGGCGGCCCCTGAACCAAGGCTGTTGCTGTAGTAGGTAAAAAGTAGCGAGAGGCAGTAAATTTTGTCCAGCAAAAGATATGTTTTGAAATTTCGACCCATTTCGAAATTAACCCCATTGCGCCACCGAAATTCAAAACACGTCGAGCAGCGATTTTGTGGTTGATACTAGACGCGTCCGGTCTGCATTTATGCGGAGATGCCATGGATGGACTCCCGGCAGAAGATGACAAATTCGAAGCGTTGTGGGCTTAATGGGCCACGATTTAGAAGGCGTGTCACGCTTGCAGCAGTGCTTTCATGGATGGGTACGCATCCAGTAGGCCAGCGGCACCCCATTTTTGGCCATGTGGCAACACCTATCAATCGATGGTTTGTCTCAAAAAAAAAAAACCTATCAGTCGATGGTGCAATGTGCAGTACTACTCCATCAATTAATGTGCAAAAACGGTGATAATATACAACGAACCAATGCATCAATTAACTCGTAGTAAGATCAAGTCTCTCTTCACAAGTTACTTCATCGAGAATGCTAGATAACTGCGTCAGGATATGGAATTGGAGTTCTTGGCAGATGGAATGCAATGCATCAACAACTGCAACGAGCATCATAGCAAAATCAAACTCAATAGACTTGTAACTACGCAGCTACTGAAACTACCAGTACCAGGGAAGGTATCACAATCGCCCAAATGATCCAACCAGGAAGAAGTAACAGCTTCGGGTGTGAGCATTTCAATGGCCGACGAACTCGCAACCACGACCGGAGTGCATCACATCATGAGGAAAACAGAACGAGTGCTCGATGTCGAACACTTGGGGCAGATCAGAGGAGTGTCGCGCCGACCAGAGCGACCGAGGCCACCATGGCCGCGATGCCCATGCTCACCGCGGTCGCGCCGTTCTTGTCGTCGGCCTTGTCCGCCTCCTCGTCTCCCTCCGGCGACTCGGCGGGGGCCGTGTCAGGCGTATCAGCCGGCGACGCGGGCGGGGAATGCGCTGGCGACTTGTGTTTCGGTTTCGTCTTGTCGTGGTTAGGCGAGGGCGCCGGCGCGGAGGAGGCTTCTGGGGCAGGGGCCGACGCTGGCGCATCGGCCGACGCTCCGGGTGCCGGCGACGGCGCGCCGCCGAAGAGCTCCGGCGGCAGCAGCACGCTGTCCACCGTGTGCACGGTCACCGGGGTGTCGTCGAGCACCGTGGACGCGACGCGGGACTTGTCCATGCCGGTGTCCATGGACACGTCGTCGCCCTTGGCGACCACGGAGAGGTCGTACTTGCCCTTGCCGGTGGAGGCCAGGGTCGGGATGCCGCCCTTCATGGTCTTGAGCGACGCCTTGGGCGCGTACTGCGGCAGCGCGTGGTACTCCAGCAGCGCCACGAGGTCGGCGCCGGTGAGCTTGCCCAGATCCGGCAGGCCCTTGGCCTGGAAGGCGTCGTCGGTGGGCGCGAAGAGGGTGAGCCCCTTGTCCATGGCCGCCTGGTACGTCTTGACGACCCCGGACGAGACGATGAGGCGCGCGAAGCGCTTGCAGCCGGCCTTGTCGAGGAGCGCGGTGAGGTTGGTGGAGGCGGCGGAGGGGGAGGTGAAGAGGCCGGGGAAGGTGATGGGGTCGGAGACCTCGAGGACGGAGAGGTTGTAGGGCTCCTCCTTGACGGACTTGGTGTAGGTGGCCTGGAACTTGGAGCCGGGCTCGGCGGAGGCGAAGCCGACCTTGCCGCCGCGGAGGTTGGTGATGTTGACGTGGCCCATGTCCCCGGAGGCGTCGCCGGTGGTCTGGTAGAGCGTGGTGGTGAGCTCGGAGCCGCCGTGGAGCGAGTGCAGCTTCTTGGGGTCGTAGTAGTCGAGGAGAGTGAGGAGGCGGAGCGCGTTCTTGACGTCGGCGAGGGAGAGGTTGGCGGCGAGGGAGGACATGGCGCCGTTGGTGAGGACGAGGCAGGTGACGGTGCTGCGGCCGTTGATCTCGTCGCAGACCTTGGTCTGGGAGAGGTAGTTGTTGTAGAGAGAGTACTCGGAGTAGCCGTCGAGGATGTCCGTGATGTTGTGGGCGCGGGCGGCGGCGGCGAGGGCGGCGAGGGTCACGGCCAGGAGGAGGAGGAGGCGGCGGGCGGCGGCCATCGCGGCGGTGGCGGTGGTGTGGGGGAAACGGGACGGGAGTGGTGTGGTGTGACGCGTGGGTGGGGGTTTTAGCTTTCGTGCGCGTGGGTTTTTGGCCTGTGGGTTGGGTTGAGGCCAGGCTGGGTTGGGTTGGGTTACACTGACCATGGTTAGGTGTGGTGTGGTGTGGGGCACTGATGTCTGAGCATGTGGCAGCGCCTTGAGAGCTGTGATGATCTTCTGCGGTGGGGGTGGCCGAAGAGACCTTTGCTTCTGCCTCAAGATTGGCCTCGTCAAAATTCAAAAAGATTTGGTCTCGTCTTTTAAAATTCATTCACCACTGTCAAAATAGAAACCAAACCATGTGCATATTTATCATTCATTTTAGCACGTGGATATGATTTCTAAAAGCGATGATTTTCGACCTTTCTCAATAAACTATGGACTTTCGGAACGGTGAACAGACAATACACCAAAATCAAAGAAATAGGCCACCACTTTTGTGGATTCCCCTAGACATCAGAAATGTGAAAGTTATACTAGTACAGTATAACATAGGCATTTGCTGTTTGTTTTTTGTGGGATAGGCATTTGCTGGTTCTATTTAAATACTTGCAAAGTATGCATTGGTTTACTAGGAGAAATGAGGGACAAAAAATGTCCGATAAACTTTTAATATGAAAAATGTTTCACTTCAAATCTTAAAATTCCCTATCCTGGCGTTGAGTTTTATTTCTGTATTAGTTTTTGTTTGGACGCGCCTCCCTTGTGTAAGCTGATATTTCCTCGGCCTTCCGCAGACGATCATGTTTTTGGCATGCATCGATGGCTCCTGTGAGGCTACAGCGCTGCCAAAAAGTGCTTCGCGCGACGCGCTCTCGTCCGGCCGAAAAGGACATTTCCTGCAAAAAGTAAAAAAGAACACGGAAAAGAAAAAGAAACGGAGCGTGCGTATACGCATTATTCTGTTTTTATACATTGATGATTGATGGGTAGTGCCTCAGTGATACAATGTATCCATTTACATGCGAGTTAGTAGTGGGCAAGAGACATGTAAACGGAAAGACAACCACTGGGCAAATGCAAAACTCCAGTCAAACGACAGCCGCGACGGAGATGGCGACTGCCCTGGTGCGCGTACCCGCGCGGCCGCCGCCGCCTTGATCTCCTCGCTCCGGTCTGCTGCGCGTCCGGCGTGCCCAGATCCGGCACCCCCGTGCCGCGCTCTCTCCTTTCCTTCAGTCCGCCTCTCCGTTCATTCGTCCGCCATGGCTCCCCAAGCTCCGACGTCGGCGGCCGCCCCGACCTCTTGGGAACCTCCTGCCGGTGTCCTCCCTGCTTCAACGACGGCGCCCGCTCCGGTCTTTCGGGCGCCTCCTGCCGGCGCCACCACCGGTACGACGACGGAGGCCGCCCCGGCCTCTCTGACTCCTTCTGACGGCACCACCACTGCTACAACGACGGAGGCCACCTCAGCGTGTCTGCCGCTGCCCTCTGTGAACGGCGCCGCCGCGACTTTCCTTGCCTTCCGCAAGGCCGACCCGGCCGTGCGGGGACGCCTGCAACTGCTGCGGCCCTCCACAACCAAGACGCGGGCCAGCTCCGATCTGAGCCTGGCGACTCCGACGCCTACCACGCCGCCTGTCGCTGCTGCCGAAGACGATGGTCTTCATGGAGCTCCCTTTGTTGGCCCCGATTTAGGTGCAGCCCCCGACGCCGCTGTGCGGACCCCGCAGCCGCCATTGGCCGTGTCGTGGGCTTCCCTCATGGACAACGTCTTCAGCATTGATGATGAAGACGAGCTCGCCCCGCTGACGCCGTTGGCTGCGAGGTGCTCCAGTGGGGTGAGCGATCCGGCTGCCGCTGCTGTTGTCGCTGCTGCTCCTGAGGCGTCTTTGGACCAGGGATGGGTGAAGGTGGGGGTCCGGCGTCGTTCGGCGTCGCCGACATTGGCTCTGGCTCCCCGGCCTATCCCTGCCTGGCTTCGCGGTCGATGCTGCAGATGCCTCGCCCCTGGACACCGGGCGACGGTTTGCAGAGATCCCTTCCGATGCTCTCGTTGCTTGGAGAACGGTCATCGTGCTTGTGACTGCCGCAACCCATGGCGTTCTCTCAGCTCTCTGGCATATCTTGTTGTCCCGCCCGTCTCTCGCCTTGGCATCCAACATTGTCAACCTCCTACTCCAAGAGAGGCCCAATTAAAATCCACACTCCCTTCCGTTGCGCTTCATCGTGGATCTTGGGCGTCTCTGGTTTCTGCTTCCGCTAGCCCGGCATAACCATCCATTGATGTGCTTCAGACCGCTCTGGCTGATCAGACCGAGTTGCTTCAGGGTTGGCAGACACGTATTGAGAGCTTCCTGGAACGGGCTGAGGCTGCTTTGAGCAGGCTCTCCTTTTTGCCGGCTACGTTTCTGGCCACGCAGACACCACTCCCTCATGTTGGCTCCACGGAGGACGAAGGGGCAGATCCTTATGGTTGTTTCTCCCCTCGTGTTCGGGACAATTCATCATTGATGTCTACTTCGTCTGTTGTGCATGTCGATGTGGGCGAGTCCATCGCTGTGCTTGCGACTCCGGTGCTACAGCTCATGCCCGAGCTTCGGGACATATGTTCGAGCCCTGCTTCGCCTCTGTCCTTGGAGCGGTTGGAAGTGGACTCGTCGACAACCTTGTGTGAGGGGCATGTTTTGCCTCTGTCGTGTGAGCAACTGGAGGCGCCGAAGTCCATTGTGTCGATGGTTCCTGTGGTGGAGGATGATGTGTTGGGGGTTCCTCGGGCCGATGATGTCGATGCGGCCGGTTTGTTGGTGCCTGCCCCTAGTAGGAGCCCCTTGGTTGATGACAACTACATCAAGAAGCACAATGAGTTCTATGATTTTCTTGACAAATGGGTGGCGGATCAGTCTGGACCCGGCATCACAAGTGGTTGCCTCCCCAAAAAGAAACCCAATAGGGAGAAAGCAAAGAGAAACAAAAGCAAGAAGGGCGGTGTTATTCGGAAGACGCCCACGATTTCACGATGGAGGGTGCTCCGTTTTTATCGTGGTCGATGTTCTTGTGTGAAGCTCCGCTGTGTTGTACAAGTGTCAAGGGTTTCGGTTGTGGTGCATTGGGAGGGCCACATGTGCGGTCACGGTGTTTCCTGTTCTGTGAGTAGTACGACCTTGGGTTGTTTGTATCGATTTTTGCCCGGTTTTCCAAAAATTAACTGGGCAATTCTCTTCTTCTTAATTAATCGATGAGGCAAATCTTTTGCCTCCGTTTCAAAAAAAAAAGACAACCACTACACACTATCATCAGAAACCAAAAATGCATACTATTAGTACTACTACCACTTGTTTCTGTGTGCTATAGTCCCAGCCATCCGACTCATCGTTCGTGGGTTAAAAGGCAGACTCGAATTGTCACGTAGTACAGCTTGCAGATGAGACCTTGCAAGCTCACGCATGATGAGCGGCGGAGCAAAAGCCAGGAACCCTCCGAATGCGCCCATGATTGGTACGCAGGCGTGCTCCAAGCTCGATCATCTGCCGGCCGGGAAACCCAGCTGGAGTGGGCGAGTTCTGGATGCCCTAGTTCTTCCTTTTTCTTCCGCGACAGCAAGTGCGATTTGGCAATATCATTTGCCTGTTGTTAACCTCTTGTGTGATAAGGAGATTTCTTTTTTAGGGAAACTGTGACCAGGAGAATTGTTTTTTTAGACAACTGTGACCAGGAGATGACTTCATGGGTGGGGTGGACCGTCAAACGCATGGGCTGCGGTCCAGTCACGTCGGGTTAACTTTTTTCCTTTTGTATGTATTTCTTCTGTCTATCAGAAATATGTACTAACAGAAAACTATGAGGTACGGAATAATTTTTTAGGACAACGCTAACGCCCACACGTGTGGTGAGAGTCAAATCTATAATATACAGACTGCGCCATGTCACCGCATGCATGCATGCATGTGAGAATATTTTTAGATTTTCAGTTTTTAAAATATTTTATCTCTCAAATAAAAAATCCGATTGAAAATCCGTTTTCACCATTAAACCCCTCGCGACGAGATCTTCGAAAGTAGATCTCATATCAATATATTTGGACGAATTTTTTTGGGTTAAAAGTTGACATGTCTATTTCATATGAATTGTCATGATGTTTACACTGAAGTTGCCATGATATATTTCAACTATTTTTCTTCTACATTTAGAAGTAAATTTTGACATATTATAAAATAGGGAATTAAGAAACTAGACTTGCCATGAAACATAAACTAAAATTGCCATGATACATGCACTTAAAATTGTCATGATTCATACAAAAAATAATTTTCATGGTCAAAGTACTGGAATTGCCATCATAAAAAAACTAAAATTGCCATGCTCTACAAACTAAAATTGCCACATGGCAACTACAGTGTAAACATCATGGCAACTTTCGGGTAAAAAAAATTCGTCGAAACATATCAACATGGGGTCTAGTTTTGAAGATCGCCTTGAGACGGATTTAATGGTGAAAACAGATTTTTAATTTGATTTTTAATTAGGAGATAAAATATTTTTAAGCCGAAAACCAAAAAAATCCTGTTAATGTCATTTGCTCATACGTGGCAAAATGAGTGGTGACGGAGGCGTGTGGGCGATGTGTAAGATGCCACACATGTGGGCGTTAGTTTTTTTTGATTTTTTAAAACGCTGGATATTTTTAAAAAACATGGAAATCTCGTTAAGACATATGAATATTTCTTATCACGTATAACAGTATCTTTTATGCACATGAATATTTTATTTTTACATGCAAAGCCTTAAAAAATGCGTGAACATTCTCTTTAAACACATGAAATTTGAAATACATGTGAACTTATTTTGACATGAAATTTGAAACACATGAAATTTGAAATACATGCAAAGCCATAAAGTATTATTGTTCACTTCATGGGCCATACCAAACATCTCAGGCCCTTCAAGCACATGTGAGCTTTTAGCGAATAATGGTGGGATTGTGACATGATCTCGGTGAGCAATGTTTATCGCGGGTGCAACTATACCTCGCTTAGAGACAAACTATACCTCGATTAATGCGAGATGGAGCCAGCACTCGCCAACAGTGCTGTAGATAGTGGGCCGGCACATAAAATCGTGATACTTTCTTTTCAGTTTTCCTTTTTTTCTATCTTCTTCTCTTTTGTTTTCCTTTTCACCTTCCTTTTTGTTTTTCATCTTTTAAGTGTTCATAACACATTTAAAAAATATTAATCATGTATTAGAAAAAATGTGAACACATGTATATAAAAGATGCTTAACACATGTTCAAAAGAGTTTTTAATACATTTAAAAAAACTATTCAGACACATATATTTGAAAATTATTATTATGTATTTCAAAAATTGTAAATGAGCATAAAGGATGTTGCAGATGTATGCGAAAAATTTACAATGTGTATGAAAAAAAGTAGACATCAAAAACACATATTTTAATAAAAATGTAATCATGATTTAATAAAATATATGTATGAAAGAAATATATATATATATGAAACAAATGTATTAAAATATTGTTGTATGAAAGAAATGTACAACATATATGGAAACAAGTACACATAAAAATGTTAAGCACTTATTTAAAAAAATGCTAAAGTCATATAAAAATGTTCCTAAACGTGTATAAAACGTGTTTATTTTAATACATTTTCTTAAACGTATTAAACGTGTACAACATATACGCAAAACACGTATCAGATGTATATGAAAAATATTAAACGTGTATAAAAAAATTTAAACATCAAATGTTCCTAATGTATACATCATATGTAAATTGTGTGTGAAAACATGTTTATTTTGTATTTAAAAAATATTCACCGTGTATTCAAAAAGTGTTTGAAACATGCATTTAAGAAAAAAATGTACACCATGTAGTTGAAAATTCCAACATGTACGAACATAATGTTCCACATGTGCACTAAAAATGTATATTCTGTACTTGAAATAGTAGACATGTGTTGAATAAAAAAGTAATGGATGAAAACCGACAAAAGAAACAATTAAAAATGGAAAAAATACAAAAAGGAAGAAAGCGAAGAAAGAAATATAGGAAATCAAAGCATAACAAAGGGGGGGGGGGAGAAGAAAAAGGGAAAACCGATGAAAACAAAGAAAACGGAAGCATGGCGAAGGAAAAAGGATGGACACTGTGAAAACAACGCAAAACAGTGAAAATAGTCAAGCCCAAAAAAGAAGACAAACCGGTGAAAGAACAAAGCAAAGCAGAAAAAACAAAAAAAACGGAGAGAAACAAAGAAAACCAAAGGTAGGGGGTGCACATTTCCATCCATGATCGGTCAACACGGAGCCCACACACAGATGGCCTCACCACGACGGTTACCTTTTTTTTAGACGAACCACAATGGTTACCTGGTGGATTGACTTGTGGGATGATGCACTTGGATTGTCAAACGATCTTCTGCATGGGCTGCGGTCCAGTCAGTCCGGGTTAACTTTTTTCCTTTTTTGTATACATTTCTCTTGTCTATCAGAAAAATGAAATAGCAGGAAACTATGAGATACAGGAATTTTTTTGATCTCGTGGATATTTAAAAAAAACATGGAAATCTTGTTAAAACATATGAATACTTCTTTTCACGAATAAAATAATGTTTTATGCACATGAATATTTTATTTTTACATCCAAAAATAAAATAAAATGCATGAACTTTCTCTTTAAATAGATGAAAATGAAACTTGAAATACATATGATTTTTTTGAAATAAGCTATATTTGCTTTGCATTTAATAAACATTTTAACTATTATTATCCATTTCACAGGCCAGACTAAAAATTTCAGTCCACAACAACACATGTAAGCTTTTAGCGAATTATATGGTGACATTCTGACATGATCTGGGTGAGCGATGTTTCTCGCGGCAGGAACTATACCTTGCTTAGGGCGAGATAGAGCCAGCGCTCATCTACAATGCCATAGCAAGTGGTCCGGCACAGAAAAATCATGATTTTTCATTTTCTGTTTTCTTTTTTTCTATCTTGTTCACTTTTATTATTATTATCATTTTCCTTTTTTTCATTTTAACAGTTCATCAAACATTTAAAAATGATAGTCATGTACTCCCTATGTTCCTAAATATAAGCCCTTTTAGAGATTTCAATTTGGGCAACATATGGAGCAAAATGAAGGAATGCATACTCTAAAATATGTTTATATACATCCGTATGTAGTCCCTAGGGAAATCACTAAAAAGGCTTATATTTAGAAACGGAGAGAGTATTTGAGAAAATGTTAACAT